TATGCTCTTAATACCAGCTCATAGTAACAATTATTATAGAAGTTATATAACGTTAAAGAAAATCTCATTATTAGTGTTCAGCCATTTGAATATAATTATTAATTTCAATGAAAGTGCACGGTAAAATATGTTAGGGATTGAAATAGTAAATCTACTGGAAGCTTTTACATTGTTAGTAATAATATGTTTAGTTCTCAAAAGTAGCGACTTAATAGGAGTGTACGAGGAGCAAACAGAATAAGTTAGTATTCCCAGAAAGTGATATTATAGACGGTCTACAATTGTAGGTACGTATTTATACATCAATTACTTATCAGCTCTCTGTTAGAAAGACGGCGAAACATTGTAACTTACTAAAAATTTTAGTTTCATAGAATTTAAATGTGCCTCTAGACTCTAGATTTGCTTTCTGCAACTATAGGTATAGGTTTTTGTTTATATTTTGTAATAATTCTCCTGGCATACACACTATACACTCTTTTATTACAATTCCTACGAAATAAATACTATTCTTATTTATTATTTTCTGTTTTTATTTAGGCATTGTTAAACAACAATCGTATAAAAAATTATGTAACTATTTAATATCTAAAACGAGATTCAAAATATTTGTACCTACTTGCGTTATAATCAAGCAAGCAAGCAAGAAATAAAAAGGTTTTTTTATTTATTTATATTTGTAATGAACTTCTCACTAATAATAGCGTTTGACGTTTATCAGTCTAGAACTTGAAATTATGTGATCCGAGAAATTTACCCTATTTCGAACTGGAAAAAATATTAAAATCAAAATACTTTTATCGAAACTGTAATATTTTTTATACTAGAATTCAGAGATGAAACAATAAATTTAAAAAAAACAAAACATTTATGAACTTTATAAACACTTTTCACAGAAGAAAGACACATCGTAATATAAGTTAAAGTAACCGAGATAAGTAAAATTGGTACTTGCATCTTACATGGAAGTGATTTCAGTAATATTTTCCTCCATTCTCTTGTGTTTGTTCACATATTCGCTCTGAATATTACTTCTAATACACATATATTTCCTCCAAAAATGTTCTTTAGTAATAACCTATATTCTTCTAGGATTTCTATTAATAACTAAAACTTAATTATAACTGTATGTAATATTCTGCCCACATGTAACATAATTGTGGACAGTATCTAAATGTAAAATTAATGAAATAAAAAACTTGTGAATCTTCACGTGGTTTTAAGCTACAAAACAAACATACTGTACCCACACTTATTAGTAAGCAGTCTTCACACACTCAAAGACCGAAGAAAGAAGACATAAGCGACATTTTTCTTTAATGGAATTGAATCTGCTTGCGCTAACGGTATATGCTGTCGAGACACCGGTGAAGGATGGGATAAGAATGACAAATCTGTTACCTTGTGACCAAATTAACAGAAATTTAACCGCTACAGTTTCTTGCAGGGACCAACTAGTCGCCATTATTGTCAACCCTCTTAATATTAAAAGTAAATTACTGAATAGTAACAAAAAATAAGCCTTTAGCTTTCGTCCTCCAAAACCTCCTAGCCAAAGCTGACAGTCAATCGATTCGTTTAGAATTATATTTCAATTATTAAATCCTGTCATATAAATTTCCTTCCGTTTTGCTTGGAGTGAGTGGTTCAATTTTATTATTGTTTTCGGCTCATTATACATATAATGACTAATTCTGTATAATGTATAAAAATTCCAAGGTTTCACCGAGAAAAAGAGCAAATACGAGAGATCAGGATGATTCACTCACTGACCACTGACCTAACGACACAACCAGATAAACCAAAATCGACTTTATTGACAATAGTAGATGGAAATAACACAGTATTAATAAGTAATGTCCATAGAACAAATATAAATTTAGATCATTTATTAAGTTTAAATATAATCAAAAATATAAAATACTACCGCTTTATCTGGACCAGATTGCGGTAATTGTTTTCATATATTGATACCATTAAATTACATGAAAAAAAAGCTATATGTTCCCTCAATATTGTAATTTATACTTCCAATTCTATGCCGAAGTACCGTAGCTTGTTTCTTTATATATATATATATATATATATATATATATATATGTATGTATTAATATAAAAAATACATAAACATAAATAAAAAATGATTCTATAAAATAAACCTGCTTTAATGACTCAAAGAGAAAAATATCCGCGAATACATGTCATCTGCTGAATGACAACCTCCTCTTCTTTGAAGCGGGAGGAATTATATATGAGGATATTTTATGATGTCCTACTTAAATGTAGGCCTATCGTCTTCCCATTCGTCCTCGGTATGAAGGCTACATTTTATATGTCCCTCAAACAGATATAAAAGTACTTTCATCTATCTCCTACAAATCTATCTCTCTACTACAAAGCGTCATACAGGAATTTTAACCTTTTGGTATTAAAATTTTGTTGCAATTAAACATGCAACTGTAAATGTTCGCTCAAAACATTTGCATCAAATAATACCCTTAGCACTATTGACGACTTTGGTGGTCGGTTTAGCATACCGCCTCATTTCCGGTGGTCGCAGGTTGAATTCCTCGCACAGTATGATATTTATGAGTATATTTTTTTGTATCGATCTGGATGTTTTCTATGTATATTATGTATGTATTTAAGAAATATGAATTTCATTACTTGTAAGTATATAGTAGTATGTATAGAGCTTGTATTATGAGTACTAGACAACTGATTGTCTAGTAGTTAGTCATAACACAAACTCATCTTAGCTTGGGACTACATGGCACTATGTGAATTGTCCTGGGTAATTATTATCATTTTTTTTTTTTTTTTATATTTAAATACATTTTTCCACAGACATATTCGTCCGTGCCTTTTTTAATTTACTTTAATATTATAATATTTATTTAATTTCCATTTTTGTACAACTCCAGCCGAGATGTTACAATTTGCCTAACAGTGACACCGAGGCAGACCTTATCCGTCTGGCCCAGAACCACCGCTGGCCGGCCGGGTGAGTTGACAACATGCAGTGTCACCCATCTTTATTTGGAGGATTAGATTTATCAATATGCATATACAATTATATAAATCTTACACTACTACTATTATCATTATAATCCCAGATATGGTAGTCAGTGGTATAGTCAACTATCAAAATCCTGGTGAACGCAACATTTTGACATGTACGTATTTTACTTGGCTTAATATTTATTGATACTGGAATCTAATGTGGCAAATAGTAAACTTACCATCCTATTTCGGATTCATTATGTTTATTATCGATGTTCCTATCACCAGGGAAACAGTTGGAAATCAGAAAGTCGATCAGGTTCAAAATCACTACCTTTAAAATCTAAATAACGGTAGTTAACAGCTTACTACTCATAGTATCAAATATCTTAAGAACATTGGACTGTCAAAACAAAATATAAAAGTTTCTCCTTATATATTTGTGTTATTAAATAGAATCACCTGCCTGAGTAGAGTGTAGAAAAAAGGAGAGAGCAATATTGAGGCCGAGTATATAAAATATGTTTTATTTTGCTTGTTACAATTGATAACGCCGTATGGCACGTGCACTTGCTTGATAGACTCCAAGTCTGATTAATAATAACAAAGAAATGTACGCATACCTCAAAATATTGCAGATGCGTCGTAATAAGTTATTACTTTACATAATACTTTATATGTAATAAAAATATAACCTGTCTCTGTCTGTACGAGTACATGAATGATATATGAATAAAAAAAATGATTTATAGGAAATTTTATCATACAAAGTTCAATATGAACCCCAAACAATAAATTTTCGATTTTTTATCTGAAATATCTGTATAATATGGATGGTAATGACAAAAATCTGATGGTCCTGGTAAGTGGAAACCGTCGGGCAGCATCACGGACATGAAATTACGACTGTGGTATCCACCATGAGTTGCCATTCAGGATGACTAAGATATGCTATCTCCATACCTAGTAATAACTAAAATTTACTGGTCAATTAAATTCACTGATTTGAATCGTTCAGGCGAAACAGCGCCCTCTGCTTGTGATGTAGGAACTATTACTATAAAAAAATTCAGAAAGTGGAGGATATTTTATTCTTTCGTTTGTTTACTTGCATATTAAAAATTAATTTAAGCAAAAATATGAAATATTATATATTTTTATTAAATTAATTTTATGTATATATCCGCAATAAGTACTTAAGAATTATGTAGTTAGTAAGTCGACATCTGATATTTCGAAACTGTCATGATTCAGAAAATAGATTTTATGTCATTAATACATCTTTTTCAATACATAGATAGCTACACTGTTTCAATACTGCCAAAAATTGGACTGATAAAAGGTACTATAACCAACATGGACGAATAGTAATATGATTAATCATATAAAGATTTACTAACATTATGATTGTAATTGTAAAATGAATAAACGAAAGAAGCTAATAACTAGCAAATAGATTCTACCTTTTTATATTAATAATTTGCTTGATTTGGCAGAGGGTACGTAATACACTCAGAAACAGTCAAGATTTTTATATAGTTTTACTGGTAGGGTCCGATTTTTAGCAATTAAGTCTTATTGTTAATCAAAATCATTTAATGACACAGCATACTTTCGACCACTGAAATGCAGTTAATTTTATAAACGGAGCAAAAATATTACATTACATTTATAGTGACTATAGTAACAAACCAATTATAATATAAAGTTGGCAATATCCATAAAACTCTTAAGGCGAAAGAGTATAACGACGCGGTTAGTGATACTTATCAGAAAAATTGAAATTCTGCTCCCCACCGGATGTCGCGAGATCACTGATTACATACACATTAGCTCAAATGCAGTCAATTTTCTTTGAGATGCGTCTCGCGGAAACGGCGCGTCTACTCGTGTTTAGTCGGCTTCGAAACGATACGGCCATCGACTACTTTTCGACTCGATCAACCAAACGAGAAACGAATAAACGTGATCGTGTTTCGAAGCATTCGACCGCCAACTCTCACGCGTGTCGTACGTATCAATCGAGCGCACTCGCCAGCGAAACTTAACTCGCACCTTTCGATAAAACGTGAATGAAGTGTTGTTCTTGAACGATAAGTTTTTATTTAAATACTTTCTTTCGCCTGGCAGTTTTTGTTTGTGTTGGTTATTTTTGTTTATTTGTTCTGTGACTTCACATTGGAGGTGTTCCGATTATTTTCAACTCTGCCAACTGTTTACGGTAAGTGCGGGATGAATTTTAATTTATTTATTTAGTGGCTCGGCCAGCTGATTATGCGGAGAGGAGATCGTGCCATGAACTGCATTTTCTTGCATGAAGGTCGTCGTGCGTTTCATTGCAATCATTCGGTTTCTATGTCATTCGTATTTCATAGGGTCACAGGTCTACTTATCGACACCATTATATGCCTGTTAATCTACTAATTAACAAGTAATCGATTTTCCAGTTATATCATTAGAATTAATTCAACTGCAACACTCGTTAAGAGAATTTTGATCAATCTTCATAAATGTTACTCTTTAATTAGTTTCAAATGACTTTATTCAAGTAACGCAACCACAAATTATAACAGGTACCTATTTAACCAACCATATATCGAATAATAAAGATGTCAAATGATGGTTCACCAAAATTATCTAAGTACTTATAGCAATAACTTTTTTTATTCATAGTCAACTGCACTTACATTCAACAATATACATCTAATGACACTTAAACACGGCATTCAATTTGCTAATTGATTGAAATTTTTATTGTATACTAAATATTTTTACCTATGATTACTTCCTAAGCACTAACAAATGGAGATTATAATTATCTGCCTATAATAATAGGAAAATTACATGCGTGAAATACCTACTTTATGCGTTGAAGTCTTTTGTGAGTGAATCTAACAATAGTATACAATTAAAAATATAAAAAATACCAACCCGATTATAATACATTTACGTACTACTTTAATAAAAGTAGGAATACCGTTTATATATATAACTCCACGCAGAAATAATTCATTTTAAAGATAATATACAGCAAGTCATATGACATTTTTATTTAACCCATATTTTAATTGCCAACACGTGTTACTAACTCTCTAATTTATAATTTTAATTACCATTTTGACCTCCAGTAATATAACATCAGTGACCTTATTAACTATCATCTTGCTATCTATCATTTTCCAGATCTTATATTTATTTTTGAAATAAATCACAAAAAAATGCCATAAAACTCTTGGTCAAAACATTTGAACGGAATCCATTTGGTGGCAAGTGTATCTTTTATTTTCCTGCGATAACAGCGCGTTTGTAAACAATAATGTCCGCAATGGATTACATTACATTCACAATAAATAAATATTATGACTAGTGTTATGATTACCACACTGACCCCTACTTATAATCAAATATTAATATTCTATGCGTAAAGTAAGAACTAACAGAAAGTTGAAGGTTCAAGCACTTTATCTACTACGCAGTTCCTGTACTTATAACTATAGATACTATGTGCATTCGACTCATCAGATAACCGTCAGATTATAGTGACATGTATATATTTATATATCTACTACTTATAAACGCCACTTTATATATCTACTATATAGATTTTTGGTAAATTTGTCAAATCAGATTTTTTTTGTACTTAATATCTCCAATATGTTAATGTAATACCACTTAATTGTAAACTATGATATATATATACATAGACACCAAACGCTTAAATAGTCAAACGCAAAATTTTAACGTAATAAATCATACTTACAAAGCATTCATTTATTATAATATGGTATATAGATCTGCGTCAAAAAAGACCCACCCATTATTAATAAAAAAAACTGTTACATTCTTAAATAATTTATATAAATTATGCAGCGTGTCGAAATGGGCATTCTATGGAGAAGTAAATAGGCAAATCTCCATACAATTAGTTACGTAAGTAAGATAAAAAGAATTATAATTACAATAGTTTTATATTATGATGTCTGTGCAATTAGAAATGTTGAATCTATTGTACATTCTCACGCCAACACTATATTTTTAAAATACAATTCCTTTTTTCTCAAACCTACCTTCATAGTTCATTATCATTTGTTATATCTATAATCCATTACAAAACATTAGTAAATGTTTTATTTTTATTTGCCGATGCCCGTATTGCGTTGAAATAAAGTATACATTTTGAATTTCCGGTGATTCCTAATTTATCGATATATTTATTTTAAAGAAATAACCTTATTATTATAATTTACATTATACAGTTCAGTTACCATTGAACGCATTTGACTGTATTAATCATACCGAACTTTAGAATATTATATTATATCAAATATGTTTTTCGCTTCCATTCATCCCTGTTTAAAAATCTCTTTTTTGGCCTTCCTCTGCCCTTATAACCATCCACATTCATTTGTAACATCTTTCTTAAAATATTATCCTCGTTCCTACGCATTACATGTCCATACCATGATAGACGATTACTCTTCAACCTCTCTGACACCTCTCTTCAATCTCTCAGAATATTATACAAAAGTATGAAGTTAAAAACATTTCACGTAATATTTATGTTTTACATGTATTATTTCATAAAAATTAAATATATTGGAAACATTGTGAACTAAAATTATATACGCAATTATTATAACAGGTAGGTACCTATACTTTTCAAATTTCCATTATATAAAGATGATAACGAAATTAAAACAATATTATTTACGATACAATGTTATTTCATAAGCCTCAACAACCGTTCAAATACTCACAACAATAACTTATAATTTTAACTTTAACTAAAATTTGTACTTAGGTCTTGTACTTACGCACTTTGTCGTAGTTACACAAGTCAGTCGCTCTACTCAGTCTTGATGTAAAACGGGACATCCAAGATAATGGAACGCAACAAATACATTTAGCAACAATATGTTCTGTTCACTATGCATTCCCAGCAATGATGTTTGGCACAATTGTCGACCAGGGTTCTCAACCAAAATCTCATATTAATATTTACAAAATTTGACAGTCATTTGTATAGCTTGGGCTATTAGTCATGCTGTGAACACTAACAAAACAAGGGATACAAAAACCGAAACTATATAAAATAACAATTCTAAATTCCGGCTGAAGTGAATATACTCAGAAACATACGTAGATCAAAATCTCATATGAAATTGTATAAGGATGATATTGTCACCGTAAATTCCAAAACCCTCAGTGCACAAGGATGACTCTATGGTCGCCAACCCTGATTCAACTCAATACAATGCAAAATGTAAACTACGCGCGTGCATGCCACCGCCGCATACCTACTACCCATGGATTAGGTTACAGAAACAGCGTATATGTGAGATGAGTACATAACTTGAAACAGAAATTTAGGTCACTTATAATTCAGCCCATTAACTGTTTGCACTACTTTAACTATTACGCATACGAACAATAGAATCTAATTGAAATGACAATATGCAAAATTTTATGCGATATTAGCTTGTACACGCGATTACGTTGCGTCATTACGGTAAATTGCACTATTAGATAAAAACGGGATACGCTGGCTGGGACAAAAAGAAGCCTATGTTCTGCTAGGTCCCAAATACGACGTGTATACACTTTCATGATAATCGTATGAAGAGTTTAGGCGTGAAACCGAATCAAGGGAAAAAGAAATTCACCTTCGCATTTAAAATATATGAATGTAGCTGTGCCCGCGATTTGACCCGCTTGAAATTTATAGCCTATGTTGTATATCTGGTGTATAAGCTACATTACTGTACAGTTTCATCAAAATCTGCTTAGTAGTTTTTGCGTGAGAGAGTAACAAATATCCCTTTATACATTCTTGCTCACAAACTTTCGTGTTTACAATATTTATAAGATCTTATATATAAAATTCTCGTGTCACAGTTTTCGTTCCCATACTCCTCCGAAACGGCTTGACCGATTCTCATGAAATTTTGTGAGCATATTGAGTAGGTCTGAGAATCGGCCAACATCTATTTTTCATCCCCCTAAATGTAAGGGGTAGTCCAACCCTAATTTTTTATTTTTATTTTAAGGCTAAACAACGTTTGCCGGGACAGCTAGTATATCTATAAAATTGTCTTTTCGTTCTATAAGTGGATCTCTGTTTCTTAGTTGTTTTAACATATTTAGGTAAAGTATATTTTTACATAATTTCAGTTACTGCATGAAATTTTCCATAGTTTTTTAGTACATTTTATTTGCAACTACGTGTTAGTTGCAAATCACATTATTATGGGCCTAATTTGTATAATCTGCATAGCACCACCTTCAAATATTCTATACCAACGCAATATTACAAGATATTTTCGGTAAAAGTTCATCATACTCGTTAGATAGCTGCATAATAACATCATTTGACATTGGCACAAGAGCCGAAGGCGGTCGCATGTGGTGGGCCGCACGACACACCTGCCACGCCAGAGCGATAAACCATTCAACTTTTATTGCTATTATTGCTAGTGAAATTTATTTATTGGATGCCTACTAGCGATCAAATGGCAATTCTTCTTTATGGATTATCATAAGCACTTAGTAGTTTGCGAAGCATATCTAGATAATTCAATTCAATTTATTTAATATATGGTGAGTACTTAAATATAATTTAAGTATTCCAAATTAGGCCGTACATAAATTAATTGAAATAAATATCTAGAAAGTATTATTTAATACCATACCACTAAAAGCTTAAGTAAAAACAGAACTATAGTACAACCAAAAAGTCCTCATTGCAAAAGAAAATAATTTCATTACAAGACAAGAATATAAACTGTATTAATAGTGAAACGAAATAACTCACTAGTTAAAAAATATTTGAAAATTCGTACGGAGAACAGATTGGGACTCTAACAATCTGTTTATTTGTAACAATGTGCTTATCATATGAATATGGCGGTACGGATTCTGTGGAAACTGATACTATCACAATTATAACTAAGGTTATATACATTTCATTTGATAAATTGAATCATAATTACGTATATCTAGTAGGTACTACCTATAAACAAGTGCACATGATAAAGTTCATTATTAAATTTATATGTATATATTTTTTTTACATTGTACTATCGACATGACAATGGCAAATTACAACGATCCTCAAACCGTTACACAACCACTCTGAATATACATTGAATAAATCAGTATAATTCCGAATATATATTATCAGAAAATCAATAAATTCTCTTTTTAAACAGCAGCTACAATCTT